ATTGTCCGAAGCAAAGCGTAGGACCTATACTTCTACGCATAGTGATATCGAATGTCTGTTTGTCCGCACGCCATATTGTCCAATGAAAATTCACTAAATTTTATACTCCGCACACATACAGTATCAATTACGGGTAGGTTTTCACAAACATATTTTTCGCAAATGTGCAAATTCTCAAATAGATCAACTAGATTATTATTCTTCTGAAGCAAAGCGAAAAACTATACTTCTATATAATGTCGTTCTGTCTGTCTAATCATCGTGAAATTGCCAATTAAAAATGTCCAGATGTAACTTTGCATATTGTCATCCAATTAGTGCTTTCGTTCCTTTACAGTCTGCTCTTGTTGCTCTTTGTCTTTACTCCCACCTATTGCTCCCGACGTGAAGTAAGCTATAATGAGAGTGTACACTTTGCATGGGCCATCTGCATTGTAATGATCTTCGCATAGGCCATCAATGATGCATCTTTGCATAGGCCATCTGTGATAAAATGCGCACTACATCTATACGTGGGCATATACTATAAAATGTATCATGCCTTGGTGTAGCTTTAACAAATGAGTTTGTATGCTGACATGTTACGCAGCAGGTGAATCGTTAAGATCGAAATAAAGGGTGAATGAGTTTACACTAATGCGCTACATCTTCGCATGGGTCATCTATATTATTGTATTATCTATATTTCCGATGCTTTTTGCCTGTTTATAGTCATAATAGCAGTATATAGTCATGGGGTATGTGTTCATAGGATATGTAGTCATGTACATAGTGATATAGAGGAAATACGGGTATTATGTATAAGGATTATGTAATGAAAAGTATTATTGACATGTGCAGGGAATAACGTAACGAGACACCTTTACCATAGTTTCATATATAACATAATAATGGAGTGAGAATAAAAAAAAAAAAAAGTAAAAAAAGTTTAATCCATTATCATTTTAAATAAATAATTTATTACCGTTCTAAATAAAATAAAGTATCTTAAAATTTTTTTTTTCGTTAAACTTTGTCGTCTGTATAATGAAAAATAAAAAGAAACTTAGTCAAACCGGTGATTCAACAAGAGATGGTAAAAATCATAAACAACGTGAAATACGTGTTGCTGACCATATTAGTAAACGTAGAAGAAGGGATGCGGAAACTCAGGTGCATTAATGTGAATTGCGTCTTGCTAATAAGTATGAAAGCAGGAGAAGAAAAAGGGCCTTAGAAATGACAGATCAATGTGAAGTTCGTTTAGCTAAAGATCGTGACTAAGAACGACAAAAAAGACATGTCTTGAAGAACGCCGATGAATGTCTGAATCATCAGGATACGCTTCCAGATGAACATCTGAATCTTCAAAATAATATTTAACAACTTTCCAATTCCTATCATATACTTCTGCAAAAATTTCGTAAAAAGATGAACAAACTCAAGAATTCGTCTTGTCCTGTGTGCATACAATGAATGCTTCCCATCAACTAATATCGTCAAAGGATCAATGTGTCGTCGCTGTTACAATAATAAAGGTCTGGTAAAAAAGTTTTTTAAGAACAACAATATGAATCCAGGACCTGTACCTAAGGAATTAAAGGATCTTACTGAGATCGAAGAGATACTGATCGCTTAGACTTTCTCTATCATATTGGTGTACTATCTTCGTGGTGGTCAATACATCTATCGTGAAAAGGTGATAATCTTTTCACAAGACTTAGATGAGTTGAATATGCTTATTGTACGTCACCAGTCTGCAGAAGATTCAACTTCATTCAAGAACTTTACTGTATGCTGGGATAGAGTTAGACAAGCACTATGTTGGCTAAAGAAATATAATCGTTACTATACCAACATTACAATTAATAATAATATATGAAGTTCTTTACCTGAGAATGGTCCTGTGGACGGGCATCTTCTGCAACTTCAAGACGTAGAGGACAGTCTTAAACATATAGATGAAGATGTTTACACTGACATTATGATTGTACATAATTTTGTTCCGACTCCTTTTCCCTCACCCAGTAAAGAACGTGCCATCGATGATACTCTTACTCGAATACAATTGGATTTCAATTATGTTATGTGGCCAACTATTGATACCAATGCTATTAATTTATTTAATACCCCCGGATATATCGCTTGTATCTTTCTGACTCTATATCCGACTAGTAATGCTGATTATCTAGAAGGTCATGCCAAAGAAGTCAATCCGGCCGAATACTTTCAACATTTCTTTAGATATAAGGATGGAAGGTTTGCATACCATTCCCAATGGTGACACCACTCTTTTAATTCTCAAATGCATTGGCATGCCTTGAAAGAAGGTAAAGTTTATGTCACGCAAGGTCTAAATGACAGACAGCTCACAGTTGAAGATGTTTAGGAAATAATCAAGACTGATTGATACTCATTTGGCAAATCGTGTCATGTGTTTTGGTAAAGGTTTGCAGGCACTAGACAATTCTGGAAAAAGCATAATTTAGAACTGTCTAATATTATTAAACAATTAGGAGTACAATAATTGTTTTTTTTACCTTTGCATTTTTAACCTTTAAAAAAAGGCGAAAAAATGTGATAAGTTAAAAAAAATGTTTAAAAAAAATACCAATTTTATTATATTTATAAATCATTAATAAATACTAAGGAATGGAAACAATCATTATTGTTTCGGCCAATGTGCTATATAATTTTTTATTGTAAGTATTGTTGGCCAGCATTATAAATAGTTCTGGATTATAAAAATTTGACCCAAAACTTGCTAATTGATAATATTATGACAAGCGCGAGGAATATGCTATAACTGATATGCCAGATATGTGTTCGGTAATCACATATAATATGCGAAAAAAGGATTGCTATGCATAGCACTTATTTCTGGCCACTCTAGCTTGATGTAGTCAATTTAGAAGCATGAAAGTTGTCGTATTAATTGAATAATTATTATCGATATACATGTTTTAATTATATTAATTTAATAATATCGATATAGTGCTTCGGACTCACAATGGTTCACATTTCCTAGTA